GCAACCTGTGGGTCCCAGCTGGCGCCCGAGACAAGGGCCAGAGGTGTGGATGGAGCAGAGAATCCATGAGAGGAGCCCGGGGGGAGGGGGCCGGCGGCACCCTTGCTGGCAGAGCCAGGTCGGGGGGCAGCCACCCCCAAGCCTACTCCGCACCTGCTTCCCGGCAGGCACCTGTGTGCAGGGCTGCCCCCAGCAGCTGTGCAGCCTGGGCCCTGTGGGGACGGAGTCTCTGGGGCAGACGCCAGGCAGGAGGGGAAGCCAGCCAGGCCCACTGAGCGGGAGGGTGGGGGTGGGAGGGCTCCCGCCCAGAGCATCAGGAGTGCACCCTCTTTGCCAGGGCAGGGCACCAGGGAAGCCAGCGGGCCACAGGCCAGCGGACCCCTGCGGGCAGCAGCCCCCTGGGCCTCGGTTTGGCAGGAGCGTGACCTGACCCCCAGGCTGTCAGGAGTAGGACCTGAGCCCACCTTCTGCCTCAGACCAGGTGGGCTGGAATGTGGGCGGCCAAGTTCAATGCCCCACCCTCACCAGCCACCCTCAGACCCACCTGTGACACATCCCCCTCAGAGTGAAACCGACCTCAGTGGTCGGGCTGCCTGGCCCTCGGAGCACGAAGCAGAGGCAGGGTTGAGTCGTGCACGTTTATTCCTGTATTTCCAGCAAACACCTGCTCTCCCGCACCCCGGCAGCGTGAAATAAACGCTCTCTTACGAGGCAGCCCTGCCTCTGCCTCATCGGCTCGAAGGGGCAGGCGGCCGACCCACTGCCCTCCACTCAGGAGGGCTCACGGCTGCCGCCCAGAAACCAGGGCACATCGTCTGACTTCCCGGCCTGTTTGCACCTGTCTGGACTGGGGCGTGCGAGGGGAGCCAGGGACAGGCCTCCAGGGCCACCTGGAAGTCCCTTCCTCATGCACCAGGAGCTGTTCCAGAAGGTTCACAGTGACTCACTTGTCCCCACCACTCTGGGGACCTTCAGGGCCTGAACTTTTGCCAGAAAGGCCTGCCCTCCCCTGGGCACGGGGGCCCAAGGGGCCTTCAGCTGAGGATGGCAGGTGGTGTGCTAGCAGGGGGTGGGGGTGGGGAAGCCAGCTGAGCTACCCCGTCCTTGTGGGGGTCAGGACATGGAGAGGTGGCCTGGGACTGTCTGTCCAGCGTGAGGTCTGTGGTCAGTCAGTGGGATTGAGGTCAGAGGTCAGGCACATAACTCTGTCACCTCTCGGCTCCCCCCCATACAGCAGCACCCCAGTGGCTGCCCACATGACCCCAAACTCTTCTCCTGAGCCCTCTGGGTCCACAGCCATGGGATACCCCAAAATCTCAGCTAACAGGAAGCCTGCTGTCCCCAGGGACTTCCTCCCTGCAGAGCTGGTAGTGGCTGCCCACCCCCAGCCACATCCCTGGGGTTGGGGGGCTGACTCCCTGCCCCTCACACTCGCCCACCCTGCTCCCAGGCTGAGACCACAGAGCCACCCTCTCCCTCCCTCCCCTGCAGGTTGGAGCTCCCTCACCTCCCGGGGCCCCTCCAGGTGGCACCTCCATGGGGGCCCTCTTACATAACCTCCACTCACGTTGCAATTTGAAGGCTTTAAAGCAAACATCCTAAGCTTTTCCTCATCCAGACACAATGGCCACCCTCCCACCTCCGGCACACGGAGATTACCCTCAGCAGCCCTGTCCGGGGAAGCAGCTTCGGGAGGGGTGGTATCTACCCCCCCACAGGCTTGGGGGCCAGGCTCAGGGCTCTGGGCTTGGGGTTCGGGGTTCAGGGTTCAGGGCCTGGGCTTGGGGGCTCAGGGCCTGGAAGGCAGGTTTGGCTTTGCTGACATTCCCAACTGCTCGCTGCCTCCCCACCGGATGCTGTGCGCGCGGCGTGGCCGGATGTGTGGAATTCCGCGCTCTGCCCCGAAGGGCATGCCACCAGCTTCCAGACACCCAGGGCTGCGGACAGCGTGTGCCCGAGGGCAGGCAGCCTGGCCCAGGGGGTCTGCAGTGTCACCCAGACAGCGGTGTAGTCATGTTTCTCTGCTGGTTCCAACAGGATTTTCTGTGTGTGTGAAAATTCAAGACCTCCCTGTCTTTGGGGTACACATTCTATGAGCATAAACATGGTTGGCCCCTCACTTCCTGCCTGTGTGGTGTCTCACTGGCTCTGAGGGGCTGGCCGCCTGTCTCCCCGCCCCCACTCTGCCAGGATCGAGAACAAGGCCCTCCTGCCCACTGGCCCTGTGTGCAGGCTCTCCCACGCGGTGGCCCGTTCTGCTGTCCCTGGCTGGGTGCCCATGGGCAGTCTCGAGGTCACACAGCACAGGACAGAGCCCGTGGGTGCCCGGCACTCGGAGCAGCTGTGTGGTGCCTCACTGGCTCTGAGCCACCACGGACTTTCAGAAAAGCACCAAAACTGAGCCAGAGGGGGAATGAGGGGTCTGAGACACCCAATCCCCCGTGTCAGATGAACATCATGAGAGAAACAGGTGTCCCACCCCCACGATGTGAGCTTCCAGATGCCCACTGCCCTGCAGGTTGCACTGGTAGGACAGGCCTGGCTCACACCCGTCCCACAGCCCAGTGACGGCCACTAGCAGGTCCCCAGGCAGGGCAGCCCTGGCCTCCAGCCCAAAAGCAGCTAGAAAAACACCAGCCTCAACCTGGCTTCCAGGGGGTCAGAGGCTAAGTGCCAGGAGCCCCAAGGGGCAGAGCGGAGACAGAGGCCAGCTGCCAGGCTCTGCTGTGCTGTGGTCACCTCGAGACTGCCCATGGGCACCCAGCCAGGGACCGCGGAGCAGGGCCAGCGCCCTGGGAGAGCCTGTGCACAGGGCCAGGGGGGCAGGAGGCCCCGGAGCCGCAGCTCCAGGAGGGCCCTTGTTCTGTCCTGGCAGAGAGGGGGAGGGAGAGGAGACAGGCCGGCCACCCAGCCCAGGGAGGTGGTCACAGGTGTCCTGATGCGCCCACTGCTGGGCCAGCTCAGGGCCTTGAAACTGGCCCTAGACCCATGCCCTGAAATCTTGTTGGGTCAAAACACCCCCAGGGGGGACACAGACCTCTACCTAGGCCCATCCACAGCCTAGGATCCTGACCAGGCAGGTGGCCCCAGGGAACAGTTGGGAGCAGGGCTCTGCCTGGGTGACACCCTGGGGAAGGGTGATGGGGTGGGGGGACCCTGAATGCATGTCCCTGAGGCCTCGCCAGCAGCCCAGGGCCAGCCAGCTCCTCACACCGGATCTCCCAATCAGCTTATCATCTGGTTTGTCCTGGTGTGTGTGTATGTTTTTAATCCTCACCCAAGGATATTTTTCCATTTATCTTCTGATAGAGAGGGAGGGAGAGAGAGAGAGAAACCTCAATGTGAGAGACACATCGACTGGCTGCCTCCCACACGACCCAGACCAGGGCCAGGGACGAACTGTAACCGAGGTGCGTGCCCTTGGCCGAAATGGAACCCTCAACTCATTGGTCCCCAACACTCTAACCACTTAGCCAAACCAGCCAGGGCTGTCCTGGTGTTTTTTTAAAAGTCTACATGTGTTTAGCCAAAAAAAAGTGCAAGGCATCCAAAAAATACAGATTAATACCTCCTTCCGTCCCCTACCTCTAGGCGCCCAGCCAGGCTCCACAGGCCAGCAGGCCGTGTGCACGACCAGCTCCCTCCAGCCCGTTCTCTCCCGCGAGCAGGTGCTGTCCCTCTGCCTGAGGGTCCCAGGGGCACAGCACCTCCTCCCAAAGGCCGGCCCCACGCGCAGACTGCGTGGATGTGCTGCGTGCATCAGATGTGTGCACGGGTGAGTTCTGCAGGGCGACCCGGAAGTGAACAGCTGGGCGCTTCACATTCTGACATTTGGGGACCAGCCTGTGCCCGGAGCGGCCCCCCGACACCTGCTCCCGGAGCCCAGTCCGGCCACCTTTGCGAAGCGGCTGCTCTAGCAGAGACGCCTCGACGCCCTCAGCCTCTCCCTATTTCATGCCTTACTTTACTTCCCCAAACCAACGTCTTAGTCATAAAACTTACTGAAAGTCATTACAGACGTGAACTGACCCCCTGACATGAGACTGAGCCTCAGGGGCCCCATGAGACAGGGCTCCAGCCACAGAGTGGGCCAGGGGCGGGGGGGGGGGGCAGGAGAGGGTCCGGGGGACAGCCCCTCGCAGACCCGTGCTCAGGGCAAGGGAACACTGCACACAGCCTTCAACACGGGGTCGACGAGATGATCTTTCCAGTGACATAAGCAAGGAAAGTGTCCTGACTGATTCCACTTTTACTGCAAGTTCATGACACCAGGAGGAGGAAACGGCCCCACCTCCAGGCTTCTCTACAGCCCCAGCAGCTGCCCAGAGCCAGAGGTCGGCAGGGACACCAAGTGGGGTCACTGCGGAGCAGGAACACAAGAGGGCTGTGTGTGTACTAGCATGTATATCTCATGGACCATCTGCATGGACTGAGCACAGCAAACCACCAAGAGTGAGAAACCAACGCCTGAGCCCGGACAACTGTCAAAAGAACGACCACTCCAGGGCCCAGCCGTCGCCAGCCCACATCACGGTGCAGCAGTGAGCCAGGCCCTTGTGCTCAGAGCCCCGGGAGGGACCAGAGCTCTGTGCTGTTCTCATGGAGTCCATCCCCGCTGCCTGGGCGGGGGCAGGACACAGTGCTGCTCCCAGGGCTGCGGCCCTCAAGCAAGGCATGTACCACCTGGTCTTTTCTGAGTGAGCGGAATCGCTCATCCACTGGTCTGTACAGGACATGCTGGCAGAGGACTCTGTTCCCTGCCTGTGAAGGGACAGGAAGTGTCCAGCTTTAGGCTGGGCAGAGCAGCCAGGCCAGCATGAAGCAGCTCTCTCCTCTGCTCACACGACAGGACCTGCAGCCACCAGAGGTTCCACCCAGGACCGAGTCCCTGCTCCTCAGAGCCAGCTTCCTGCCCCAACCAGGGGCTCCATGGAATGAAGGCCCGTGCCCAGATGACCGGCATGCCCATCCCAGTGGGCATGGCCTAACTGGGCCCAAGGCCACTCCCACTGACCCCGACCCCATCAGGCCCGGGCAGGCAGAGTCTTTAGGGGTTCAGGAGGCCCCTGGGGTCCAGGAGGGCCTTCAGCTGCTGCATGAGCCGCAGGGCCTCGGGCGGCTTGCTGTAGCCGAGGACGCTCTGCTTCTTGAAGCCGACCCCGTGCTCGGCGCTGACGCTGCCCCGCTGCCCGGCGGTCCACTGGTACACGTAGGGCTCCAGCTCGCCCAGCAGAGCCGCGCTGAACGCCTCCGCCGTGACGTTGAGGTGCAGGTTGCCGTCCCCTGGAGGGAGAGGGGTCCATGGGTCAGGCTGGGCAGGGCCCCTAAGGAGCCGGCCCCTCCCTGCCCCGAGACCCCGCTCCGAGGCCCTTCCTGCCCTCTGTGGTTCCAGCCCCTCAGGCCACTGGCCGCTGCCCTGCAGTGACAGAAGCAGCCTCCCCAGGGGGACGCAGGTCCCTGGCTTTGCTCACCTCTCTCCAGTTCTCCCCAACCCGCCCCACCCTCCACCTGCTCACACCCTCCGAAGGCTCCAGGCGGAGAGCCCACCAGGGCCTCACCCTCTGCGACCCTGGGGTCTGACCACCTGAGGGCTGCCACCAGGATGGCCCCAACCCACCACACACCCCTCACAGACACCATGGAGGCCCCCCACCCTCAGGACGCCTCCTCCGAGGCTGCCAGCCAGCACACACCGCAGAGTCCTGGGGCCCCAGCTGCCTCCTTGCAGGCCCCCTCAGCCCCGCTGCTTTGGCCCTTCAGGCCCCTCGCTGAGACCCCGGGCCTGGCTTTCCAGAACTGTCCAACACATGCTGGCTCGGGCCCTGGGGCAGCCGAGCCCACTGCCCACATGCACCCTCTCTCGGGGGTCCAAAAGCAATGACAAGAGACACAAGATCAACCCACATCAACCAAGTCAATGAGCCAATGAGCTGAGTGGGGCTGTGAGCTGGCTGGGTGCTGACCAGAGGGAGCCCAGGGTGTGCCTGCACCTGGTGGAGTCAGAAGAGCAAACGGTGACATTACCACTGACCAGGAGGGGGGCCTGGGAGGGCCTCAGGGCAGGCAGGAGGGAGGCAGACACCGAGCAGGCCCTGGGAGACTAGGAGGTAACATCCAGGTGGCGCTGAGTGTGACCAGCGTGCCTGGGAGCCAGCACAAACATACAGAGAAGAGGCCCCACACCCAGAGCCAACAGTCAGGAGGGTGGAGGGGCTGAGCAGACAGTGAGCCAGGCCCAGTGAGAGCCGCTGTCCACCTGAGGGCAGGGAGCCTCAGGGCAGAGAAAGGGGCTCCCCGAGGCTGGAACAAACACAGCAAACCCAGGGCAACACAGGGGGCAAAGAGAGCAGGTGTGTGGGCTCTGACCCAGGGGTCTTGACCTTCTTACACCCTCTCCCTCCGTCTGGGTGTTTCAAATGTGGGGTGCATAAAAGGGAGCCCCCTCCCACCAAAAGTGGTCCCCCCAACACAGGGCAAAGGCAACTGAAAATGCCACCAAGGGCCTTGCCCAGGGAACTGCATGTGGGAGGAGACCCACACTGACACCTGTGCGTCACAGCCATCAGCCAGCACGCGTGGAGCCGCAGCTCACACCACCTGTGCGTCACAGCCATCAGCCTACGCGCGTGGAGCCGCAGCTCACACCACCTGTGCGTCACAGCCATCAGCCTGCGCGCGTGGAGCCGCAGCTCACACCACCCGTGCGTCACAGCCATCAGCCAGCACGCGTGGAGCCGCAGCTCACACCACCTGTGCATCACAGCCATCAGCCAGCACGCGTGGAGCCGCAGCTCACACCACCTGTGCGTCACAGCCATCAGCCTGCGCGCGTGGAGCCGCAGCTCACACCACCCGTGCGTCACAGCCCTCAGCCTGCGCGCGTGGAGCCGCAGCTCACACCACCCGTGCGTCACAGCCATCAGCCAGCGCGCGTGGAGCCGCAGCTCACACCACCCGTGCGTCACAGCCATCAGCGTGCGCGCGTGGAGCCGCAGCTCACACCACCCGTGCGTCACAGCCATCAGCCTGCGCGTGGAGCCGCAGCTCACACCACCTGTGCGTCACAGCCATCAGCCTGCGCGCGTGGAGCCGCAGCTCACACCACCTGTGCGTCACAGCCATCAGCCAGCGCGCGTGGAGCCGCAGCTCACACCCCCCGTGCGTCACAGCCATCAGCCTGCGCGCGTGGAGCCGCAGCTCACACCACCCGTGCGTCACAGCCATCAGCCTGCGCGCGTGGAGCCGCAGCTCACACCACCTGTGCGTCACAGCCATCGGCCAGCGCGCGTGGAGCCGCAGCTCACACCACCCGTGCGTCACAGCCATCGGCCAGCGCGCGTGGAGCCGCAGCTCACACCACCCGTGCGTCACAGCCATCAGCCAGCGCGCGTGGGAGCCGCAGCTCCACACCACCCGCGCGTCACAGCCATCGCCAGGCGCGGGAGCGCAGCTCCACCACCCGTGCGGTCCACAGCCATCAGCCTGCGCGTGGAGCCGCAGCTCACACCACCCGTGCGTCACAGCCATCAGCGTGCGCGCGTGGAGCCGCAGCTCACACCACCCGTGCGTCACAGCCATCAGCGTGCGCGCGTGGAGCCGCAGCTCACACCACCCGTGCGTCACAGCCATCAGCGTGCGCGTGGAGCCGCAGCTCACACCACCCGTGCGTCACAGCCATCAGCCAGCGCGCGTGGAGCCGCAGCTCACACCACCCGTGCGTCACAGCCATCAGCCAGCGCGCGTGGAGCCGCAGACTCCACCAACCCGTGCGTCACAGCCATCAGCCTGCTGCGTGGAGCCGCAGCTCACACCACCCGTGCGTCACAGCCATCAGCGTGCGCGCGTGGAGCCGCAGCTCACACCACCCGTGCGTCACAGCCATCAGCCTGCGCGCGTGGAGCCGCAGCTCACACCACCCGTGCGTCACAGCCATCAGCGTGCGCGTGGAGCCGCAGCTCACACCACCTGTGCGTCACAGCCATCAGCCTGCGCGCGTGGAGCCGCAGCTCACACCACCTGGTGGCCACGACACCGAGCTCAGAGCAGAAACGTTCAGGAGGTCCCACGCTGGCGGGGCCAGGTCAGCAAGCTCCCTCCCCACCCTCTGCACAAACAAGCAAGTCACCTCCAACCCAGGCCTCCAGCAGTTCCCACAAAGGCCTAAGACACGTAAGCCCAGGCCACAAATGACATCCACACCAAATGAAGCCACCAAGAGCCAGGGCAGCAGAATCTGACCACAGTGACTCGATATCCTACCATTTCCAGGAAGGGAATATAAAAGTTTCAGATGTTTAAAGAAATATCAGATAAAAAATAAAGTTTTACTACAGGCCAGAAGGGAATGGCATGAAGTGTTCAAGGTAATGAAAAACAAGGATCTGAATCCAAGACTACTCTACCCAGCAAGGCTATCATTCAAAATAGAAGGTGAAATAAAGAGCTTCCCAGACAAAAAAAAAGACTAAGCGACTATATTAGCACCAAATCAGCACTGCAAGAAATGTTAAATGGACTGCTGTAATAAGCAGAAGAAATACAGAGAGAAACATAGCCATAATAAACAAAAATGGCAATAAATAAGTATGTATCAATAATCACCTTAAATGTAAATGGACTGAATGCTCCAATCAAAAGACACAGAGTAGCTGACTGAATAAGAAAGCATGACTCATCTATATGTTGTTTACAAGAGACCCACCTCATGACAAAAGATTCACACAGGTTGAAAGTGAAGAGATGGAAAAAACTTTCCAAGTTAATGGAAATGAAACAAAAGCTGGGCTAGCAATACTCATATCTGATGTAATAGACTTCAAAATGAAGGCCATAACAAGAGACAAAGAAGGCCACTACATAGTATGAAAAGGATCTATCCAACAGGAGGATATAACCGTAGTAAACATATATGCACCCAATATAGGAGCAACAAAATATATTTTAAAACTTCTGGAGGACTTCAGAGGAGAAAGCGACAGTAATACAATCATAGCAGGGGACTTCAACATCCCGCTGACACCACTGGATAGATCCTCTAGACAAAAAGTTAACAAGGAAACAGAGACTCTAAATGATGCACTAGATCAAATGGATTTAATAGGTATCTACAGAGAATTACACCCCAAAACTGCAGAATATACATTCTTCTCAAGTGCACATGAGACATTCTTAAAGACCGACCATATGTTAGGACACAAACTAAATCTCTACAAGTTCAAGAAGAATGAAATCATATCAAGCATCTTTTCACATTACAATGGCATGAAATTATAAATGAATTACAATATAAACACTCAAAAACATTCAAACACATGGAGGCTAAATAGCATGTTATTAAGCAATGGATGGGTTACCAAGGAGATCAAGAAAGAAAGAAAAATTTCCTGGAAATATTAAAATAAACACACAACAACACAAAATCTATGGGACACAACTAGAGCAGTCCTGAGAGGAAAGTTCATACCATTACTGGCCCTACCTCAAGAAAAATAAAAATATTCTTATAGACTATTTAATCCAGAAAATTAAAGAACTAGAAAGTAAACAAAAAGAAAAACCCAGAGCAAGGAAAGAACTAGTCAAGACCAGAGTGGAAAAAAAAAAATACAAAAGATCAATGAAACCAAGAGCTGGTCTTTGAAAAGAAAATTGATGAACCTTTAGCCAGACTCGCCAAGAAACAAAGATAAAGGACCCAAATAAACAAAATCAGAAACAAAAGAGGAGAAGTTACAGCTGACACCACAGAAATACAAAGGATTTTTGGAAAATGCTATGAATAATTATACGCCAACAGATTGAGCAACCAAGGTGAAATGGACAAATTTCTAAAATCACACAGTCTTCCAACCTTCCAAAACCAAACCAGGAAGAGTCAGAAAACTTGAACAGACCAGTAACAACTAAGAAAATGGAAGGTGAACTCCCAGCAAACAAAGCCCAGGTCCAGATGGCTTCACAGGGGGGTTTTTACCAAACATTCAAATAAGAACACCCATTCTCCTCAAACTATTCCAAAAGGAAGACTTCCAAGCTCTTTTTATGAGGCCAGCATAATCCTAATTCTAAAACCAGTTAAAGACACTGCAAAGAAAGAAAACAACAGGCCAATATCCTGGATGAACATAGATGCCAAAATCCTTAACAATATATTAGCAAATTGGATCCAGTAATATATTTAAAAAATTATTCACCACGACCAAGTGGGATTCATCTCAGGGATACAAGGCTGGTACAATATTTGCAAAACAATAAATGTGGTACACCACATAAACAAAATGGAA